TTAAAGCTAACTTAAAATCTATACATTTGTTATTAACCTGCACATACTTAATGCAATATCCGAGGTGGGGGCATGTAGGATGCTCCGAGCAACACCTATATTATACACATTTATATTATATGTTCTTACAAATAATTCCCTTGCACCTCGGTTGCGCTCACATTCCATTAAAAAATGATGTATGTCTTCAATTACTCCACAAATTTCACAGTTAGGTGAATCAGTTCTTTTCATCAAGTAAGAAATTTTTTTGATGGAATGTGACCTGCTCTTAATCTAAATATTAATTTAATAGTATTTCTGTTTAATTTGGTATCCATAAACCACGGTATTCGAGGCGGTTCGCTCTGTATCGTTTTATACCAAATACCTTTCGTTTTAGAACGTTCATTGAAAAATTCTTTCCGTTTATTATAACATGAATTTTTTATTTTTGGTAATATTTCTGAGTAGCAAGAATCAATATAATACTCTACACCATTTATGCAAGCAGAATTCGCTAATCTATCCGCCTCCTCGTTACCCAATAAACCAATGTATGCTGGAATCCATTGCACCCTTACACCGATGCCGCATAGACTGAACTGATTTATTTGCGAAAGTATGTCATAGGCTATCGAAACACCTCTGATTCCAGAGGCGGATCGAGCCAAATGTTGGATAGCAGTTTTACTGTCCGAGTAAATGATAATTTTGTTCCAGTTATAGCTTGCGGCATATCTTAAGGCTTCGGATATTGCAATGAGTTCAAGGGTCATAATAAAAACGTCATTTGTAACTTTATACGATCTAGAAATTGCTTGAGATGGGTCAAGAAAAGCTGCCCCTTGCAACTTAGCACTCTTTGATCCGTCTGTATAGATTTTATGCCAATCGTGATATTTATTGTCAAGTTCTTTGATAATATTGACTTTAAGAGAATTTATTTCATAGAATTTTTTAAATTGTGTAACAGACTCTAATTCACTTAATATTATATTTTCAATATCAATGCGAGACAGCCAAGTGTTAAGCGAAAATGATTCGAGAAAAGGAGATGAATGTATTTTCATAACTTTAATCTTATTGTAAGATTTAACTAAGAGTGGGATTTTCTTGCGTTGCCAATATCTTGTTTCACAGAGACTGCTAAGCTGCTTCAACAAATCAATTGCAATATTATTCGAAAAAGAGCTGGCTTTTAAAACATATTTATAAGCTAGATATAATCTTCTAATATACAATGGAGGTACACTAAGTTCGCTTTCCATTACATGTATTGGAGAGCTTTTGATAAAACCACCAATAACCCTTAACGATTTATTTTGTATTTTATCTAATTTTGATAAGTGACCATTAGCACAATTATCAAATAAAAAACTACCGTAATCGATTCTACTTCTTATTAACGAAAAATACAGCTGACGAATATGTTTAGGATGAACTCCCCACGATGACCCAGATTTTATATTATTATATTTAAAAACTTATTACATTATATAATATAAAATACTAATTAATTAATATACCATTAGTATATTTAAAAACTTATTACATTTTTCTGTAATCTCATTAATGTGTTTGTTCCAGAGTAGGTTACTATCTAGCCACAACCCCAAATATTTAAAGCAATTTAAGGAAGTCAGTGAGCGTTCGTTAACTGTTACCTTAGGCAGGACTCGTCTACGTCCTCGACTAAACAGGCATAACTTTGTTTTTTCAGTTGACAGCTGTAAACCTAAATCGTTTAATATTTCTACTATACAATATAACGCGTTTTTGATCTTTGACTCGCAAATTTTTAAATCTTTGTCTTTTATATAAATAACAAAGTCATCAGCATATTGAATAATGTTTACGTTGTGTTGTGATATTAAATGGCAGACTCTGTAAGTCGCTATATTGAATAGGAAAGGGGATATTGGGTCTCCTTGTGCTAATCCTTTATTTGTGCTTCTTTTAAGTACTTTATTTTCAATTTGAGATTTTACCCGTAAATTTCTTTTGCTTAGGAATGACCATAAATATGTACAAAACCTACTACCAACTTGTAGGTTATCTAATATTTTTAAGACACTATTTATATCAACATTATTGTAAGCATTTTCAATATCCAAAAAGTAAGCTAAAGTGGGCATATTTTGTGTAAATCCAATTTGTATAAATGTTACCAAGCGAGAGTGACAGTCTGAGCAAGATTGTGATTTCCTAAATCCAATTGTCGATGGAGAAAATACGCAATTTTTTTCAATGAACCATTCTAGTCGTTTGAGCATCATAATGTGGAAAGTTTTACAAAGACATGACACTAAGGAAATTGGTCTCAGCTTAACATCAGAATTAGATGGGCCACTATTTTTTGGTATAGGTATAACCAGCACATTACGCCATTGACTTGGTATATTTCCAGACCTGAACACAAGGTTATAAAGAATTAAAAAAATTTTTTGGCGACTTCGGGAAGATTATATATCATACTATATGTGATTTCGTCATCTCCGGGAGCAGTATCTTTTTTTTAAGACAACTTTTCAATTCTGCCATTGTAAAATCAGTCTCTAATGAAGGATTTTTAGACATAAAATTGGGACATACGTCGGTAGCAGTATCCGGTGTGAGTGAAAGTAGAAGCTTTTCTTGCTGATCTAATGGAATGAATGATTTTTGTTTACGAATACCCTTCATCCACCGCATGCGCTGCCACATGTTTGATGTTGAAGTTTCTCCATCTATCAAATCGCAAAAGTTCTGCCAATATTTACGTCTTGCATCTACTATAAGTTTAGTAGCTTCTTTAGTTTTTACTTCTAAGTGAGTCAAATTGTTGGGAGTTGGATTACGTCTAAAATTCAGAAGGGCTAATCTTCTTTGAGCAACTGCTCTAGACAGGGCTGGGTTCCAATAATTTCGGGGTTTAAATTTTGTTGCTGGATCAATGCGTACTTTTATAGTAGGTATACTAGCATCAGCCGCTTTATCAAGTTGAGAAAGTAGAAAGTTATACATTTCTTGAATACATGTTTCATCATATATATCAATATCTGATAAATCATCGCTAAAGGATTCTTTAATTATGTTAGTATATGCTACCCAATCAATTTTCTTAAAATTACGTTTCTGAATGCCATTATATTGTTTTGGGATTTTAGTACTTAATTTAATTAATAGATGATCGCTGCCTAGATTTTCATTGAGCACCTTCCAATCGAAATTTATAGCAATATCATTTGATACAAAAGAAACATCTGGGGAAGTTTCTTGTAAAAACCCATTGACAAGTTTAACTCTTGTTGGCATTCCATTATTAAGAGAAAATTAACCATGTTCTACCGATGCGTCTAGTAATTGCACCCCTCGTGCATCGTTTTTGTACGACCAATTGCTGTGGTGCCCATTAAAATCACCTGCTATTAACGATTTTTTTGGGAAGAGGGAAAATAGCTCCTCCCATTCTGATACCTGAGTTCTAACTGAAGATGGACAATAGATTGATATAATATTTTGTAAGAAATCACAATTGTGCAATTTAACACATACGGTTTCTATGCCTGGGTTAGTTAATCGAATTATACTTACTACGCTTTTAAGTGAGTTGTGTGTAACGATTGCAACTCCACCATAAGAGTCATATCTGTCCCGTCTATAGATATTATAACCTTTAATATTAATATTATCATCGTTATCTAACCATGTTTCACTTAGTATGGCTATGTGTATTTTTTCTTTTACCAAAAGCTCCCCAAGATCTATCAATTTTGGTTTCAAACTTTATGTATTCCACTGTAATATATTAATAGCGATATTTTTGTTATTTGTACTATCCATTATTCATATAATTTAAAACTGTTTCATAAATTTTTCGTCCTGATATTAAACTACTCACAAATGTTTTAATTACTTTAAAAATGGCCATGAAAACCGCAATAAATTTATGCTCTAATCTTTTTCTAGAGTACCAAATAGAATGAGTTTTTAATAAGAGTCCCCTAAAATCAAATGTTTTTTGTCTTATTTCTTCTTCATCTGAAGTACTTTTTTGACTTTCTTCTTCTGCTTCCTTAAACTGCGTATCATTTTCTATTGTATTTATTTTTTTCCTTCCTTTTCTTTGCCTTTGGTTTGTCTTCTCCTTTTTATTTGTTTCTATGAGTATTGTTCCTTCATCTGAGGCTAATTCTTGATTATTTTCCTTATGAACTTGAGCGTTAGTAACAACCTGACTATAACTTCGAGCTCCACGGTTTTCCAAAACTTGTGTCGGCTGTTCTGTCATCTCTTGATTGACAAAAGTATCTTTAGAGTGTATATTTAAGTTATTGCTCATTTCTATTTGATTTTTATTTATAATCATCTGAAGAGCTTTTCTATAAGGTATATTTTCCTTACTCACAGTGATACGTATTTCTTTTTCTTTGAGATACGTAGGACATCTTTTATCTAAAACGAAATGTAATCCCTCGAATTGAGACACTTGTATGTTTTTAGATCACAGTTTATGTGTTCCGTACTACCACATTTAGGACATAAAATTTTTTAATCGGGCATACTTTAATAATATGTCCGAATTTCCAGCATCCGGTACATTGTGTTACTGGAAAAGTGTAGTTTTCCACTTTAAATTTATACTCATATGCCGTGACATAAAGAGGTAAAACAGCGCCTTGAAAGCATATACATTACAGTTTCACTTTCGACCCACTTGCTATTTAAATCAAGTCGTTTAAGTCGTCTTACCGCCAATATTTTGGTATCACTTTTCAAAATTGCTAAAATATCTTGTTCTGTAAACTCCAAATCTACACCTCTAATCAATCCATAAGAAACCGTGGTTTCAAAAGTTTTTTGACATTTGTTCTCTAATTCTTGAAATTTTTTACAACTTATTAATTTTTCCGCATCATTATTACCTTGAAAGCAAATCAAAACTTTGAAAGGGGACTTATATTTGATTGTTTCAATATTCAGAATATTCTCCCTTCTTAATAATTTATTCTTTAAATGATGTAACACAAACCTCGTATTTAGATCCGATTTCTTTCGATGTTGTATTTTGACCCTGTCCTGTTGAAATACTTCTTCTGTCTTTTTTCAACTGGCACATAACCATCTTCGCTGTTTGTATCTTCTTCACATGCTTTTCTCTTCTCCGATCTCACTTCAGGCTTTCGAGTTGTGAACCCAGCGTTTGCATGTTCCATTTCAGACTCACGAGTGATTCTTCGATCCTCAATTTGGCTTAGTTCTAATTCACATTTACGTATGATTTCCGAATCACTTTTATCACTTCCATCTATCGATTTATCTTTATCACTATCCATATTTAAACATTGAGGATAAACTGATAAAAAAAACTTTGTATTACGAACTGAGCGGTCTTTGACGTGTGTGTGCCAGACGACAGCTCGCGCAAGACTGTATTCCATCATCTTTGGTGCCTAGTAGGTTTTGTCAGTCCTGTAAGATTGTATCACGCTATAAGCAGGAGTGCTACCGGACCTGGGCTGATGAATCAACGTCTCAGGATGTAAACACCAGGGTTCTTATAAAGAAGTATATATTTAGCCTCCGGGTCCTTCAAAAGTGTCATTGCCAAGAAAAAGTCCTAGTACATCGGCAGAATTAGTAAGAAACTAGTTCGAATTCCTTCAGGAACATATGCATTCTGGTTTCTCGCCAACGCTGTCTAAAGGAACTCGTGCCATCTCTGCATAGGTAGGAAGACTACTGGATCATCCGCAAAAGAAAAAGCCACGCTTTCTTTTTGTATCTAACTCCACTCTTGATGGCTGGAAGAACACACTATCCCGCAATGTGAGTGCTCCATGCAATATATGCTCGGTGCGCAAAGCACTCCTCTCTCTCAACGTCAACAAGTTGAGTGGGCCTGATGGAGTTTCACATATTGTGCTGAAGACGTGAGCTCCAGAGTTGGCACCGGTTTTAACGCGTCTTTTCCGTTACTGCCACTCCCTAGGCGTAGTTCCAAACTTATGAAAGACAGTTTTGGTGCACTCGGTTGCTAAAAAAAGCGACCTTTCAGATCCGTCCAACTGCAGGCATATTGCTATCACCTCATTGTTCTCCAAAATTGTGGAAACAAGAATTAACTGCCAGCAAATGAGGTACCTTCAGAATCACCAGCTGATTAGTGACCGCCAGTACCGTTTCCGTCGGGGTCACTCGGCTGGTGATCTTCTGAGTTACCTGACTCATCAATGGTTAGAGGCAGTAGAGTCCAAGGGGCCTCCCCCTTGCCGTTGGCCGTTGGTTTATACTTTATAGCGAACGGTTTGGCACAAAGCGCTTCTTTAGAAGCTTTCTTCCTATGGGCTTTCATTCGGATTACCAGCTTACTTGCAGATCGGATCATCGAAGTCGTAGTAGACGATGCATGCTCCGATTACATGCCCATTAACGGAAAAATGTCGCCGAGTACCGGAACAAACTTGCGTCTGAAGTCGAGACACTGTTAAACAAAGTTTTGAACTGGGGGCGAATAAATCTAGGTCAGTTCAATCCCCAGATGACACAAGTTTGCGTGTTTAGCGCTAGAAAGAACCCTTTTGTCGTGTCTCCTCAGTTTTAAGATTATTCCCCACGGTGCCGCAGCAATTATCGAACTCCTCAGCGTCGAATATATCGAGTGACGTGCAGTTTTGTGGTCACTTGGATTTTAAAAAGCTTGGCGTGCTCAGCAGAGCGGGACAGTATTTTATGCCGGCACACCGCCTGGAACATTACAAGGCGCAGGTTCGACCTCATATGGAATACTGTTCCCATCTCCGGGCTCAGGCTTCCCATTGCCAGCTCCTTCCATTTGATGACTTCCAGCGCGAAGCGGTTCGTCAGCGACCGAGCCCTTTCAAATCGGTTTGACTCACTGGTACTAAGAAGAGTTGTTGCATCTCTTTGTGTATTTTACCGTATCTACCACGGGGTGCTCAGTGCTCTGAAGAATTTTTCGGACTAATTCCAGCTACTCAATTTCATCATCGCACATCGCGACATAACTCGCGATACCTCCATACCATCTGGATGATTGGCGGTCGACCTCTGTGCGATTTAGAAGAAAGTTTCTTCCTCGCACAACTTCCATGTGGAATCGACTACCACCAGCGAATTTGCCGGACCGATACGACTTAGGGACCTTCAACTCTTTTTTAAAAGGCCGGCAACGCATCTGCAATTTCCGTTGTGTTGCAGTTGTTCATGGGTGGTGGTAGTCACCATCAGGTGAGTCTAATGCTCGATTGCCCCTTCACCTTTAAAAAAAAAACTTTATACGTTCACGCGTCTGCGGCAGAGCCCAAAAAAAAGGGTAATAATTTACGTATTCACGCATTTTATAATAGTTGTCGGATTTGAAAAATGATATCCCAATCAATTTGTAAGTATTTTGGCTGTATTTCGATTGCTGGTAAATTGATTTTCTTATATTTTAATTAAAATAATGGCTTGAAACGGATTTTGGTAGGTAAAAGATAAATGATGCTTTGATAATCTTAAGTGATTTTATCGCTAAGACGCCTTGAGATACTATCGTTATAAACTGTCTCTTGGGTTAAGCTTTCATCAAAATTTTACTAGTACTTCGTAATGTACTTCGTAATGATACATCAACATTATTAACAAAAACCCTTAATAATATATTCATCAATTAATAAATTTGTCATCATTGAACAGGTGAGTTGACACATACTTGACATCTGGTGTATTGGTACTTGCTGAATTGATATGGAAATAACGATTTTAAGTAGATTTTGACTCGTAAAAGAAAAGTGATTTTATTTATTAATAGTGACTCGCCCCAGCTTCAACTTGATATGATTTATTAAAAATAAATTAAGACTATTTACTTAATAAATTCTCTATTTTATGGAAAAAAACAAGTTTTTCAGATTTGAATTTCGACCTTGAGGAGGGATCCTTGAATTATTTTATACTTTCACCAATCTTTAGTTGTCGTCAAAATGTCCTAAAATCACAGCAAAATATTTTGAAGAAGCTTTTAAATAAATTATTATAAAGGATAATTTTTTATACTCGACACAGGCAAAATTACAACTATCCGAATTCATGACCGAAGAAAAAATGAGCAGATACCAGTACCGCCTGTTCCTAATGTCTACTATATGACAAAGATATAAAGTAATAATGTTGAAAATGATCTAATAAAAACTTACGACTTACGAAAATAGTAATAACGAAATATCACATAGTAAATAAATATCGCATAAAAAGTATGATATTAATGAGTATATTTCAAAGACAATTTGAAAACGAAAAATTATACTTACATTAATTAGAACAATGCAGTAAATTCCTTTGCATTTTAAATAATAATTTACTTTAAAAATAAACCTCGTTTTAATTATTGTGCTTGAAACCCGGGCGGAGATGTTGTGACGAGTTAAAGTAAAAAGAAAAGTAACTGAGTGTCTAGGACATTAATTAAAAGTTTAAAATACATTTCTGGCACCACGCTATTTTGTTCATCTCTTTTATTTTGATACCTTCTTTTGTATTAAAGAGGTGCTCTTTGTAAAGCATTTTTAATAATTATATTTGATTGTTTTTTATTCTTTCGATATGAACAAAATGTAAAGAAATAACCAGCATAGGTTCCAATAAACAATAAAAACAACAATAACCTCATGTTTTTATTTTGTGCTGATATTCTGTGACGAGATAGCTTCACGCATTATCTTTTATCGCTTGCTTTATAAAGTGTTTTTTATATCATATGTTTTATTTTGAATCAAGCGATGTGTGTGTTGGAAAAGTGAAGTAAGGGAAATAGAAAATTAGGAAGATCTCTTGTTCTCTGTGATGGCTGCAGACATCTGTCCGTTCAAAAAGGTGGGAAATAAGATTAACAAATAATATTATATGTCTAATATTTGTTAATCTTATTTCCCACTTTTTTGAACGTTTAAGTATTATTAAACTTAAAATTTCTATTGTTACATAAAATGAATATTTTTGGTACAACTTGCTTAAACTCAGCAAATATTTAAAAATTTGTAATATGGAAAGCCCACCCGCATCGCAACCGCAGTCATTGCCATATACGAATAAAATGTAATTTAATGCGAAGAGGAATTTTAATTAAGTTACATCTTATTTATGCAGGTTAATTTAAAAAAAAGTTGAAGTTACAGCCGATATACGTCCCACAGCTGGGCAAAGGCCTCCTCCCATTTCTGAAAGCGTTTTAGGTCAAGAAAATGTCCGTCACCGCACACCACACACCATTGCGTTTTGGCGAACTTACATACTCTTTTCTTATTTCCCAGACATGCAAGTTTCCTCACTATGTTTTCCTTCACCGCCGAGCACGTGGTAAATCAGCATTTAAAATTAAAATTAACAATTTCATTGGTGCCGTCGGGAATCGAATCCGTGTTGCTTGCGTACTGTGAAATTTACAGCGAGCGCTAACCATCAATTTTTTTATTTATTTTACGAAAAAGATTTCATGGACGGAATCATATTACGGCACCCTAAGAGCATCCTCACGGATCGGGCATGGTTTTTTTTTATAATTAATATAGCCTGCGTATCGTATATTCGTTATCACTAGCCTTTTAAGTCTATTGTTAGAATAAGGTTTCTTCTCCTCCTGTAGTGTGACGAGATGGTTTAATGGAGTTTTATCGCTTCGGTGAGCTTTGTAAGCTTACGAAAGTGTATTTTGTTTAGTTTTTTTATTTAGTTTGTTTCATTGTCATATTAGACTCTTCATAGCGATATATCTATCGTTTTAAAAATATATTTTTATAGCATTGGATGACAAATAAGCACACAGTCCACCTGTTGGTAAGTGGATGCTGTGGCCCGTAGACATCCACATCAATACTCGATTAAGAATCGGAATGCAAATGCGTTGTCACTTATGAGGACTAAGATGGAATGCCTCGATTCCAGTAAAAGGGGTCTTCGGTTCGGGTACACTCACCATACGGAACACAATAGCATTACGCTGCTATTTTACGCTGGTATTCTGCGAGAGCGTGGTATCCGCCCCGGTCGAGCCGACTCATACATGCTGCAACTACAATATAGCTGCGGCGTGTCTCTATCAATTGAAGAGTCGACTTAAATAATAAAATGTGGGTTAAGTGTTGATGGTATGTGTCAAATGGGTTAAATTGCGGCGAAAATGCTGTATGATATCGATCTCAATATTAATCAGATATTGAGATCGGTATCATAGAGCACTTTCGCGTAGGCATATAGTCAATGATGATTTTAAAATCATTGCGTGTATTAAGTAATAACTTAGTAATAAGTGGGGGATTACGACGTCTACTCTCAA